TAACCACATGTTTTCAAATCTAAATGGGGCGGGTCCTCCACTCCTTCTTTCCTCCTTACAAATCACTATGGGCCAATGGTCCGAGGTCACCCTTGGGAGAGCTTTCGAAGCCAAATTTCCCCAATGTTCTTCCCAATCCAAAGAGAACAGGAATCTATCCAACTTAGAGCAGATGGGACTAGATTGGAGATTTAACCATGTAAATGTTTTGTGGGCTAAAGGAATATCTTTAAGCTCAAAGGCATCCACAAACTTGTTAAACTTTTGCATGCTTTTTGTCACCCTCTGATTAATCTTATTGGTTTCCTCCGAGTATCTAATCACATTAAAGTCCCCACCCACACACCATGGCCCATCCCACAGTCCTCTAACATCAGCCAATTCCTCCCACAACTTCTTTCTCTCTCTGTAGTCATTTGGTCCATATACATTTGTGAGCACCCATACATAACCATCCTCTTGTTGCTTAAACTTCATGGAAACCGAATACTTCCCAATTAGCTCCTCCAGGCCTTCAACCGCATCCCTCTTCCACATTGTTACAATCCCCCCCGAAGCACAACCCACGAATGAGCAACCACCCAGCTAATCCCCCTGGCTTTCCATACACTCCTCGCCCAACTATTATTAAACTCCATTCTCTTGGACTCCTGTAACAGAACAATATCTGGGTCATACCTCCTTATCACCTCTTTTATTGTTGCTTTTTTTCTTGCATTCCCTATTCCCCTCACGTTCCAACTAAGTATCTTCATTTCCACTTCTTTCTTGACTCCCTCTCTACCTACCCACTACTTTCCCCCTTTTCTTCTATCTCCTGTTGCCCCGAACTTCTTATCCCCTTCTACATCTCTTTTCAATCTCTCTACTTCACTCAGCTTCCTCTTCTTTGTTTTTATCTCCTTCTTCCTCTTCTGTAGACCTTCTTTCAGCACATTCAGATCTTCCAGCCTACACCCCATCTTCCCCACAAATTCTGCTATCATGTCCTCTTTCATCGAATTCTCCACCCCTATCCTTCCTGCACTTCCCCTCCAACTCTGCCCCCTGCCCTTCCCTCCTCACCTCTGGTCCCACCCCTCTTCTCTCCTCTCCAACCATCCCCCCTCTCTTGTTACCTGCCTCCAGCCATGTTCTCTCCCCACATTCCTCTCCCACTCTACCATCCTTCCTTTCCTTCCTCTCCATTGACCCCTCCCCTCTTCCTTCCTCCCCACCCCTCCTCCAAGTCAGAATTTCTTCAACTTCACAAAACACTCTTTCAATGATTTCCCACACTTTTTCGTTCCTATACCTCCCTTCCCGCTCCTCCCCACAGTCCTTTACTTCCTTCTCCACTACCTCAGACAACCCACCATCTAGCTTGGCTGCATATTCATGGACTACAGTACATGGCGTCGGGACGGAATCTGGAACCAAAGACATAGGAGACACATTAGTAGCACAACCTGAATTCACTTTGTTACCTGGGATTGATAGAAAGGTTGGAAAAGGACTGTTCCCGGCCTCCCTCTCTTGTTCCAGAGGTTGGTAAACATCTGTCTCCCTGAGTTGGTTGGAAAGTACTTCTGTCCTTTGGTCACTCTAGTGATCTCTCCTCTCTACCCCTGAATCACCCTTAGGAGGTATGTTCCTGCTCTGCTTCAGGTTCTCCCGATTTGCCCCTTCTGTTGAACCTTGCACACTCTAGAGTCTTAGTCCGATTACAACCTTCACCCTGAAATAAGCTTGCAATATTCCACCCATCCATGCCACCTTCGACATAGCCACCTTCGTCATTTACACTGCCCACGTTGGTACCATCATCTGAGCTTTCATCCAAATCTTCATCTTCCTCACTACATTGCACCTAGCCTTCATCCGCCTCTTCCCTCTCTTCTGCTCCTTCCCTTGCATATCTTGGATTCGGCCTGTCTGAGGAGCGTCRCAGGGAGCTAACCTCCTCACAGTTTCGGCGGGGGACCCACTGAAAGTTCCCCTTCTCCAACTTCCGCTGCTGCGAACGTCCCCCGTCCATTCTCACCATTTGGGACGAAGATAGACCAAGTTCACTGTCTAGTAATGGTCTATGTTGTGTCTCCTTACCCCGACCCACGTGACAACTTAAGTTATCACGTGGGTCATTCGAAAAAGACCCGTGTTCGGTATTAGGCCCGCTCGACCCGCCCACATGGCCACTTAAGTTGTCACGTGGGCCCTTAAATGAGTGGCCCGGTTCACTTTCAAACCCACCCACATGACTTTTTAAGTTGTCACGTGGCTCCTTCCAAATTTGTCCCGGTTTAATCTTCAGCCCACCCACCACCTTCACTGGCTCGGACCAAGCCATTCTGCTCCCAGAAGCAATCTGCTTCTTTGTCACGTCAGCATAAGATGAAGAGCCCGCCCTAATTTTGTTAAATTCAAACCCGTTTGAATTAATTTCCTTAAATAGGTTGCCTACCGTTTGGTTTTCCCCAGCCGACACAGTAACCCCAGATTTAACCTTCATCTGCTCCACCTTTTCACCGCCCTCCCTCTTCCCTCCACGTGTCCACCACCCTGCCATCTCATCATCTTCAACCTTAGGACCTCCTTC